GCCGGCGCGGCCTACCCCGCCCGCCCGGGCCTCCGCCCGCCAGCGCCGGGGCGAGGCGAGTGCGGACTGCGCAGCCCGCCAATGGGAAGGCCGCAGGGATGCGCCTCGCCGCCCGGCCACCGAGTAGGCTTGGTTGCACCGCGCGTCCCCGGGAGGGTCTGGAGGGCCACGGAGAGCCTGGGTGGAGCTCTGAGGAGGGTCGGCTGCGGGCGACCGGCCCTGGGCGCGGTTTGCACCGATGCCTGAGGGCCCGAGGCGAGTGCGGACTGCGCAGCCCGCCAATGGGAAGGCCGCAGGGATGCGCCTCGCCGCCCGGCCACCGAGTAGGCTTGGTTGCACCGCGCGTCCCCGGGAGGGTCTGGAGGGCCACGGAGAGCCTGGGTGGAGCTCTGAGGAGGGTCGGCTGCGGGCGACCGGCCCTGGGCGCGGTTTGCACCGATGCCTGAGGGCCCCTCCCAGGCTAGACCTCCGCGATCACACCTCCCACTCTCTATGTTTGGGCACGATAGGGTGTTGGTCATCACTCTCCCAACTTTGCACCTTATGTCCTCCATTCCATCAGTTACAGGCACCCTTCTAGGATACATGATCTGAAACAAACTCGAGCTTACATTCAGAGGTGCACACAAGGGGAGCTGGTGTTCTGCCCATCACCCCTTTCTCTGTGGTCTTTTTTGATTTGTTTAATGTATGTGAGTGTTTTGCCTATATGTATTCCAGTGCATTATGTGCGTGCAATGCCCTTGTGGGAGCCGGAAACCGAACCGGGGGTCCTCTGCAAGAGCAGCCAGTGCTCCAGCCCCCCTTTCTCTGTTTTAAATACACATCTCATGAGCACTTAGGCTTTGTGTTCAGAAACTAGGTGTACAATAGCAACAATCCCAGGGGAATCGGACCCTCTCTTCTGACCACCACAGGCATTGCTCGACATGGGTGCACTTCCATACACACGGGCAATACACTCATAGACATAAAATAAAAATAATAAATAAGATCCCGGTGTGGTGGCCCACACCTTTAATCCCAGCACTTGGGAGGCAGAGGCAGGCAGATCTCTGTGAGTTCAAGGCCAGCTGGTCTACACAGTGAGTTCCAGGCTAGCTGGGGCTACAGGGAGACCCTGTCTCAAAAAAAGACCAAAATAATAATAATAATAATAATAATAATAATAAATAGAAATATTTTTTTAAATAGCGTGTGTGAGACCCCCTTCTTACTGGAAGCAGCTTTTAAATAAGAATGAGTTTAATGGCTAGAGGTTGATACATACGGCAGAGCAGAAAAAGAATACTCTTTTTCCCCCATAATGGCACTTAGCAGTCTGGAAGAAGAGAGCAGATGTTGGGGTTCCCAAAAAACCAAGAGCAGTAGTAATAATTCCGACTCTTGCCGCAAACTGCATGCCTACTGTAGTGACAACAGAGTATTCCAGCAGAGAGTTCCATAGGGGTAGACTGGGACCTGCAACATCAGCATCACCAGGGGGCGAACCTAACAGAAACAGAAATTCTTGGACACTATTAAATCAGAAGTGTGGGCCTGGAAATCTGTGTTTTACAAGCCGTCCAGGTAATTCTGATGCATGCTAACATCTGAGAACTATTGGCCTGGACTGGGAAGGGCTGCTCAGTCTGTGAGTCATAGAACTGTCTGAAAGATTTTACAGTTTTCCAATCTCTTTCACACTGTGGGGCCATTCTAGCTTCACTCCAGTCCCACTAGTCTGTGAGTTGCATGACTCTGTTAAGTCTTTTTCCCATTCCAACCCGTTATTTTGATGTGTATCCTAGAAGAGACTAAGTTGTTAAGAATTTACTACAGTCAGGGAGGCACTTTCTAAACTAAGCCACTCCATTTTTAGCAAATAGGAGTTTAGAATGGGCTGGGAATGCAGAGCCACCCCCATCCCCCATATCCTCTACACAGTATCGGGCACAATTTGGGAATGCAAAGCTATAAGCCTTGAGCGTTTTCAGTGGTGAGGAATGGCAGAAGGCCAGAGCAGATCGTGGGTAGGACTTGAAAGAGCCGGTGCAGGCAGATTCCCATGGTGCAAAGTGTGAAGGAGAAGAAAATACTGCTCCCTGCTTGAGTTGAGCAAAGTGCAAAGACCTCATAAATTCTGGGCAAATCTTGGGGTACAGGGGTGTGGAGCAGAGTGAACAGTGGGCCCACCCTGACCCATGTTCATGAGCTGACTCAAAGCTGAAGAAAAGCAGAGGGGATTCTTTATGAATCCTTCAGGAGGCAGAGAACATTATAATTATGGATTATTTCTCTTTTTTTTTCTTATCAAAGTCTATCTTAAACTTGACTTGTTTGTTTGAAACAGTGCCTCACTATATAGTTTAAGCTGGCCTCAAACTTGCGATCCTCCCGCTTGCACCTTCTGATGCTTAAAATGTACCACCACATCTGGTTAATGTTTGATGTTTATATTATCATATTCTTAAAACATGATGTCCAAGGTGTGATGCAGTTCATCAGAAAACCTTTGGTATTCTTCATAAAATCTGCTTTTTCCTCTTTTTTTTTGGAGGGGGGATGTTGGTAATTGAAGTCAGGGCCTCACTCATACTAAGTTCATGCTCTACCACTGTTCTAGTCTGCTCTGTTGCTGTGATAAAACATCAACCAAAAGCAACTCGGGGGAGGAGGAGGTTTATTTCATCTTATATACAGTCCATCATTGGGAGAAGCCAAGGCAGAATTCAAGGCAGCAACCTGGAGGCAGGAACTGAAGCAGAGATCATGTCATGGCAGAATTCTGCTTACTGACTTGCTCAGCAACATTTCTCTCTCTCTCTCTCTCTCTCTCTCTCTCTCTCTCTCTCTTTCTCTCTCTCTCTCTGATATGTGATTTTATTTATATTTTATTTATTATTTTATTTTATGTGTATGAGTGTATTCCTTGCACGTATGTAAGTGCACCTGTTTGTGCATGCCCTTGGATGTCAGAAGAGGGCATCAGATCCCCTGGAACTGGAGCTATGGACAGTTGTAGCCACAATGTGGGTGCTAGGAATCGAACCTGGGTCCTCTGCAAGAGCAGCCAGTGCTCTTAACCATCTCTCCAGCACCTGAGCTACATTTCTTATACAGCCTAGGCCCTCCTCTTCAGGGATGGCACTGCCCACAGTGGGCTGGACCCTCCTACATCAATTAGCAATCAAGAAAATGTCCCACACACATGCCACAGGCCCAACTGATGGAGGAAGTTCCTCAGTTGAGAGTCCCTCTTCCCAGATATATGTCTAAGTTTCTATCAAATTATCAAAACAAGTTAACTAGCACAACCACCAAGCCTACACCTAAACCCAAACTAAATTAGTCCCCGTTTCTAGTTATTTGGAAGTGGGATAATGACTACCTACCTTAAGGGTGTTGGACAATATAGAGTATAAGGCATGGAGACGCTGCCTAGCATGGGATAAAGGCCATCACTAATTTTACAGATGTCACCCAGCTTCCAAAAGTTTGAATATTTCATTCTAGTAGCTTCATCCTTGGGAGTTCAAATATGTCCCTCTCACTTCCAAATTTCACCAAGTGACATACTGTAAAACAAATATGCTACTTTGAAGGAAGTTTAGTAGGGCAGTCAGTGGAGAGATGTGAGTGAGCTACAACACTGACTTGAAGCCAGTGGCAGATTTTCATAGCAAACTAATGAGCACTTGCCATGTGTACAATTTGAAAGTACGTTGGCTGACTGAAATTTTCTTTAAAGGGTTGGATCATTTTATTGTTCTCTGTTCCTTTGGGAAAATACAAGCCCAAACTGTATGCTTATATTTAAGATATGATAAACATTTGCAGACTTACAAAGCAAGTGGCTATGTTTGGTATCTAGGAGTAGCATTTTCTAGTATTTTCCATTCTGTTTTGGTGTATCTAATTAATTATAAGTAAATATGGTGTAGTGGGACGAGCACCGGCTTTGGTATCAGAAGATTCATGTAGGAACTCTGGTTCTGTTTGGGGCAACTAAATTGATTAACCCTTTAATCCAGTCTCATCTGTAAATAGGAGCTAATAATATGTATGATCACACTATTTTTGTGAAGAGTCAAATGAAGAGTGCCTGTGAAACAGGTATGCGGACTTGTGGCTTATGTCAGTAAACTTGAATGAAACAAGGTATGTGTTCACGCCCCTCCCTGTATGTCATAGGAGACAGGTAGAGTTAACCCAGTAAACCGTGCTTTTTGAACAGAAATTCTGATTAGAATAATGAACGGAGGCTGTCCTCACTAGTATTAAATTTGCTAAATCGGCGAGTATATGCATACATGAGAATAAAGAGCAGTTACACCCACTGCATAGTTCGGTAAATTGATGTCTTTCCTCACAGAGTAGGGGCCAAGACTGACAGGTAAATCTAGAGTGGGTAAGCTTTTCTTCTTTTTTGTGAAAACAGTTAGGTCTGGGACTGGAGAGATGGTTCAGCGGTTAAGACCATGTACTGCTCTTCCAGAGGACCTGAGTTCAGTTCCCAGCAACCACATTGGGTGGCTCACAACCACCTGTAACTCCAGCTCCTGGGGGATCTGACACGTCTGACTTCCTCAAGCACCTGTATTTACATACATATACCCCCCACATATATACATAATCAAAAATAAAAATAAAGAAATAAAAAAAATTAGGTCCGAGAAATAAAACGGTTTCTCTTTTTTGCCAATAGTAAGGGTTTCACAGATTATCCCAGAAAATGGTTAAGAATTTTTTTTAACTGTCAGGAATTAGGACTCTTTTTAATTTTAAAAATCTTTTTAGTGTTTTTGAGTTAGGGTCTCATGTAGTTGAGGCTGGCCTCTAACACACTGTGTACCCAAGGATGCCTTGAGCCTCTAGCTCCCAAGGAATACTTTTTAAAACAA